AAAGAGAATGATAACTTAGTTTTGATTCTACCAAGTGTAAACAAGTACACAGTGAGTGAGTGAGTTAGGTGCAACACTGAATTTAACAATCAGGTGTTCACATGATCCAGAAACATACATCCATTACTCCCAAACATACAGAATGGACGTACAAAAAAATAAGCATTGCAACCTGAGGGATTCACAGCTTCCTATAACATCAGTATTTACAAAATCTTAGGATTCAGTACAATATGCCATTTCATTACTTTACATGAAAATATTATTTCCTTTGTAAGGTCATATTAACCTCTAGTTTTGAAGGTCACAGTAAAACCTTTAAAATATTGTTAGCCTAATGTCAGAAGAAAACAACAAGTGATACAGGTCTTATAAATCCCCCACCCCTTTGATGAAAACCATGAGCACAGTAAATACATGATACGTTTTATGGAACTTCATGAGCAAAGTGTTCACTAAAAATCATGATCAGGACTCAAACCTGGGATTTTAAACCAAGAGGATCCTTGCACAGTTAAGGCACGTAACTCTGAACGGCAAACATCAGCACCTCAGACCCAACATTCTTATCAGTCGGTACTAGATCCACCCAAGGGACTGTAACAGAAAGTGATAAGTTTTCAAATAATAATTGAAAAATGAAATAATTTCATCTAACGTCTAGATGTTATTGTGCTAATATTATAATAATAGCTTGTACTGGACAAACAACTGAACATAAACACGATCCTCCTGTCTACTTTGTGCCAGGACTTTGACAGTGTGTAATGATGGCAAATATGCAGTGATTCACAGTTTTCATAATCCATAATGAAACTAGTCGTGGTCCAATTAATTGAAATAATCGAAGATGAGTCGCTGTGACGAAATGACCAAGCAATCGATCATGTTTTCTCATAATCGAACATAAACAATTTTGGAACTCTTGTTTGCATTAACAATATGTTTCACAAGGTTGGTTTTGTCTGTTACACTTCAGAAGCACTACAAGCTCGTTCCAAGTCATGACTAAATTTATCTTAAAGACTCCAGGAAAATGTCCCTCACATACTAGTCATCCCTTAAAGAACCCGTAAGAACTACCGGTTTTTTCTCTATTGTTTGGTACATTAAGAAGCATAACCAGTAAATTTGATAAATGGCGCTAACCAATTATTTTCGATGATTGATTGGTTGTAATGAACCAATCATCAACTATGAGATATTAACCAATTCCCAACCCTCATTCCACTCACTTCCTCACTGCCGGCACCTATCAACGTGATCCCAAGACAAATAACAGGTTTCACATCTTCTTCCACAACTAAGGACACAGGGACAGTGCTGTCTAGTCCTTTCAACATATGCGATATCTGGGATTACACTTTCTTAGTAGTTTTAAGTTCAAAATGTGTGACAAAATGGGTATCAGCTCGCGCCATGAGTTATAAAGTAAAGGGCACTAGTGCTGTCGCCATGAGTTATAAAGTAAAGGGCACTAGTGCTGTAGTAGCCATGAGTTATAAAGTAAAGGGCACTAGTGCTGTCGTCATGAGTTATAAAGTAAAGGGCACTAGTGCTGTCGTCATGAGTTATAAAGTAAAGGGCACTAGTGCTGTCGTCATGAGTTATAAAGTAAAGGGCACTAGTGCTGTCGTCATGAGTTATAAAGTAAAGGGCACTAGTGCTGTCGTCATGAGTTATAAAGTAAAGGGCACTAGTGCTGTCGTCATGAGTTATAAAGTAAAGGGCACTAGTGCTGTCGTCATGAGTTATAAAGTAAAGGGCACTACCATGCTAAAGTCGCACTAGTGCATGAGTAATAAAGTAAAGGGCACTAGTGCTGTCGCCATAAAGAGCACTTAAAGTCAGGGCAGGGCACTAGTGCTGTCGCCATGAGTTATAAAGTAAAAAGGGAGTGCTGTGGAGTCATGAGTTATAAAGTAAAGGGCACTAGTGCTGTCGCCATGAGTTATAAAGTAAAGGGCACTAGTTATAAAGTAAAGGGCACGAAAAGCTGTCGTCATGAGTAATAAAGTAAAGGGCATGAAGTAAAGCACTAGTGCTGTCGCCATGAGTAATAAAGTAAAGGGCACTAGTGCTGTCGTCATGAGTTATAAAGTAAAGGGCACTAGTGCTGTCGTCATGAGTTATAAAGTAAAGGGCACTAGTGCTGGAGTTATAAAGTAAAGGGCACTAGTGCTGTCGCCTGAGTTATAAAGTAAAGGGCACGAGTGCTGTCGTCGTGAGTTATAAAGTAAAGGGCACTAGTGCTGTCGTCATGAGTTATAAAGTAAAGGGCACTAGTGCTGTCAACATGAGTTATAAAGTAAAGGTGACATCATTGGCACAGTCACATTATCAAGAAATATTCAGTCAGAAAAAATGACCACTGTCCCAACTCAAACAAGATTTCACCTTTGGAACTAACAGACTGTATACATATCATCCTGAACTATAATACTCCACGTCTGATAGGAATGTTCTTATCTTTCCATGACACAAAAAACAGATACTCGTATATGTGAAGATCACACTCAAATACAAACACATGTCTGATTATCCAAACAAACATAGAGCAGTGCAATAGTCTACAATGTATTGGACACTATTTGTCATGACATATATTTCCAACTGTCATTCAAATAATGAATAATGCAATTTAGGCTGTTTGGGGGAATTGTCAATGCTTTTTATTTTCAGGTGTTGACATTCTAAATAGATATATATTGGCACTGCTACAGGGGCTGTGGGGTAGCCTAGTGGTTAAAGTGTTCGGTCATCACGCTTAAGACCCAGGATCAATTCCCCACATGGGTACAATGTGTGAAGCCCATTTCTGGTGTCCCTCACTGTGATATTGCTGAAATGTTTCTAAAAGTGGTGTAAATCTAAACTCACTCACTCATTTTTCTGCTACATCACATTATGGTGAAACACAAACAGATTGTTAATGGATGAAAATAATTCACATTATGAATCCAAGAAAACACACCCATGTATGGCTGTTCTGAATCACTGAAACTAATCAACAATGTGGCTTGCATGTTCCCCACAGAAGATCCCAATAACGATCATTTCCATACCAGTAAGAAATATACATATCCGAAGGATCAGTTTTGTTTTACTTTAACTTTAAACCACATCCATAAAAGCCTAAGGGCTTCTGTGCATGTGCAATGATGTATCAATAAAATACTCAGAGAATAATAAAGCATATGATTCTGTGCCAGGATACATATCGCCACTAGGGAAAGTCTATAGCCAATGGTTGTTTTTCCTCCCCGAAGCTAGCTATTTCACATTCCTCACTAGTTCTAAAAAACCTGCGGACAAATCAGTTGTAACAATGTATCATCAGACAGGTACCCCCTTGTACATGGTTTAGAAAACCCCTCCATAATAACTGACATAAATGACTGATATATAAACAGACCAATACAGTCTGTGTTGCTGTCAAAATATGGCCATCTTGTGGTGGTGTTTGTGATCAGACCTACATAAAACATGATATTGTTGGTTTGGGTAACAATCAATATGAATTCTGCATCACAGTAATAGATACATTATACATAGCACATATTCACGGAAGACTTCAAACTGCATGGCAAAGATAGATCCAACATAAATACCAACACCTTTCACCAACCCAAACTCCAGTATCCTTGACAATCAATTTACAGGTTTCTACTGATACTGATAATGTATGAAGAATGGATGAAATTTCCAGAAATATGCCACATCAAAACACATATAATCACATAACAAACCATGTCCACTACCTATTGTTAAACTGTCAATGTCACGACTTTTTAGTGTTTTTTCTACCGCAAAATGAGTTTGTCAGATAATATTTTTCCGGAAGCTTCAAAGGGAAGGGTCTATATTCACAATGAATGATCCCTCATTCATCAACACCATTCACTAACCTGACAGTCACTCATTCAACTAACATGCTCCAAGTAGTGTGGTCTAAAAAATTCAGACATGTTGTCTATAAATTCTGTGATGATATAAGGGTCCTGATATTGATTGTTGAAACGAGGTCTGTCACTGATGGAGTCTGTAGGAACAAATTGCTGAATCATTAGGAATTGTGGGTGTCATGTCATGTAACATCACAGTCGTCATGCCAACAACATGTAATGTTCTACAGGTGTATATATCAACAAGAGGCATTTATCCATCACTTCTAAACAAATATTTCAATGGCCAAAATAATTTTGTCATATAGATCTACAGTCAATGCAGAATCAGTGTTTAACCAGTTTTTGATGAGATATTGGAATATTTCTTTCAAACATATAAATAATAATTTTGTTTTGTATTTGATGTTCTTGGTGAGTGTACCTTCACAAAATCTGAAGCAAATCAGTAATACTTTGATTGAAGTGCAAGGTCAGCAATAGCCTAAATAATGTCCATGAACAGCTGACTGATCTTGTAACTGCCTTCTAGCTGAATCAAGTGCAGTCCTGGAATGCTGTTAATTTATCACCTGTCAAACTGCATGTCACATGTAAGGAATATCATATCCAACATGAATACTCCAGAAGTGGAAATGGACTCTCAGTGCCCTAACGAACAAACATGGCAGAGGTCCACAACACTGTGTTGACACACGAGTGCAACCTACGGCAAGATTCTGCCAAACACAAGTCAACAATTTACACCACTGACGTCACCATAAACAATATGGCATTTAGATTTAAGAATTAAATGTTCTGCCCTCCGTGGCAACTAGTTGCTGTGAAAATGCGCTAGTGCTGTAACAAAATGGCAGACGGATGTATCAACTTAGGCTTGTCACCAGGTTCTCGGGTAAATTAATTGGCATCCGATAATACTGGCAAGATGGACTGTAAGGAAATTTTCACCAAATTTGGATACTGGCGCTATAAAAGGGCGATCTTCTTATTCCATGGGGGGTATATAAACAAAATAAATGGTCACATTTATAGCAAATATATCCACTGTGACATATAATCTCTGATCTGGGAAATAATTGCCCCACGATTTACCTTGGCCGCGAGTTTGTACCGATGAATTTCCACTAGAGCTGTTTGTGGTCCAAGATGGCGGTCCCCAAGTGTTCCCGCTAGACATTCCTTGCAAACAAACTGGAAATTCACCTTTATGGCACGCGATGGCCAAGGATCTGTCCTTTCAATCTTTGCTTCGATGATTAAACATTTTTTCTAGTTTTGCAAAAACGCGATTGCATTAAATGTACGTGTAAAAGATGGTGGTCTCTCACGGCTAACTTTGTTGATGTTAGGGCACGTGACGTCATCCACCGTAGCCGTATTCCCAAGCACGCCAATGCGGCGAGGGGAGAAGATGTCGCTTGTTCCCGTGTCTCCAGAATCAGAATTTACAAGGGTCAACACTCTACACCATCAACACTGAAAATGCGCCTTACAAAGTATGCCAGTCCTTGGTCACGATAGCGGTAGCAATCGGTTGTTCTCGGATGTTTCCGGTGGGGGATGCCCTTCGTCAAAGGGATTCCCGCCCTGACATCAAAGCTGGTTGCCTAACAACTTCAACCCCCTGGAAGCATCAAAGTTTTTCAAAGATATTTCTTCATTGGTGTCACTATTCAATATTTTAACATTCGTTTTAGTGTAACTATAGCACGATGTGACAGATCTCATTGAAGCAGGTTCGGGCCATGTGACCTCACGTGAACTCTTACTAAACTCAAAGGTAAGTATATATCTACAAGTATAGGTCAACTTGTTTCGTGGTCAGCGACATATAGCCTTAATTATAATCATGCCTTATTATTTTATACATATAATTGCTGTAAATGATCAATTGCATATGAATTAATTAATATTAAGGTAATTATCACACTAAGAGAGATAGATTCCATGTGATTCCAAGGCATACAGCTATATGTGTGTTAATGAAGAAAACGTATGTAGCTTAAAGAAAGACCACCTCTTTTTACATAACAGGGCTAGATTTTAAGAGCATTTTCTACATACGGGCACCTAGCTCCCGCCAAAATAAGCCGAGGTGACGCAAAAACAGGCGAGATCGCATTACACATAGTTAACTTAACGTCTTCACGGCTCTCATCAACCGTCTGGCTAACCTAAGAATATAAATGGGTTAAACATGGGCAAGTATGCCTTGTCCCTAAAAGACGAGGATGAGGTAACAAAAATGATAACTGCTGTCACTGTAATATTGACATTTATTAAAACTGTGAAAATATATACCAATTTAAACTTTTTGTAGTGGATATACCGGGAGGATTTGTGGTATTTGAAATCCTGTAATTTTCCACCCTTCTATTCTCAGGCAAAGTGGAGTGCACTCGGAGACGCGCTGCGCTATTTAGAAATCTTGGGGTTTTTTCCCCTGTCGATAAGCGACAACCATTGTCACTCAGCCTGCAATTGAAGAGGCAAGCACTTAACACGCGTACAGAACCTTGTTCACGCGCCGCACGTACACTCGTGACATCACAAGCACCTGTTGGTATAGTGAACCAGTATGACGTCACTATCAGTATCTTATGACGTCACAACTCATATCTTGATATCTGCGATTCTCTTTATATACCCCCCATGGAATAAGAAGACAGAAGAAGTAATATATGTTATTAAGTAAGACAGATACCTTTTGAAATTCCTGAAGAAGAAAAACAAAATGCACCTTGATAATTCCATTTACCGGGTAAAATCCATTGTTCCTTATAACAATCATTTATGTGAAATCATATATATCAGTAAATATTCTTCTCTGAAACTGATACGGGATGAAACATAGACGAGCTTTATTTATAGATATCACTTTTTCATCATATCATTATAACAATTATTAAAATAATTGTGATATCCGCCAGTTTTGAGTATGTCAATGAAATCCACTGAATTCAATCTGGATGTGGTCAGAAAATCTTCCGTTTCATGGTGCATTGTTTCTCAAGGTCAATCGTCCGCCTGATGACGGAGCTAATCAATATACCACGCTCACACTGCCTGTAGATAGTGCAGCACATGTTGTCTTGTACACGTATACTGGGGGGCCTGACCTTTAGCACAACTGTAACATGCAATGAATATTGTAGCATCTGTATGAAGGATCTCGCCACCACACCGCCATGTTGATCATATCACTCCTGGCGTGGTGGTTAAACCGTGTCCTGTTTTCAGCCTCTTGCTTCTTATAACCAAATATCAACAATTGATACTTTATTTAGGAATATATCTGTTAAGATGTCCGTTTTCATCCATGCGTTAGAATATGTGTAATTTATTCATAAAGGCTTGTGCGTTCGTCCACGTATTTCAAGCCGTGCAGCTACAGGCAGGTGTTGTATATTTGATCCCCCGCTTGTCTGTATCGTTAAATCAATTGGCCATAGTTGTTTCTGCGTATACAGTGAGAGTCAAATGAAACTACACCCTTTTTCTGCAACTGAACATTTATAGAAATGTTAAATTTGATTCTGTCTATCTATCCATCACTCATCCCCGCAACAATTTATGTAGGAACTAATCTGTGGACAGGTCATTTTGTGTAACAGTAAACTCAATAAAGGCTGGGTTCAGCTACCGTATTTGATATGTTAATTTGTGCGGATTATACAAAACAAATTATCCCTCAAATTTATTGATTTATAGAAAAGTTGTCGATTACTACACTTTGCTTTACTTGCTTTTCAAAAGTTTTGAATTATATTACACTTGAATTAATAAAACCATGTAGAAGGTTTCTTTGTTTGATCAATGAGTGCCAGTGCAGTGCGTTCTCCGGAGACAATACCGCTAAAGTAAGATATTCTCAAACATGTAATTAAACGCACAGAGAGGTATAGTTTCTTATGCTTCTCAATTAACTGGGTTTGTTGCTGACATTTGTATTAATATATCGCAATTATTTAAAAACACATAACTTTTTCCTTCCGCCGAGAATTGAAGTATTATTAAAAATTGTGTCAGGGAAAAGCAAACAACCCGACGTCATTACAGAGCTTTCGTTAAATGTGTAATTTTCGTTTTACCATTACTTATATAAGAGATGCTGTTTGTTTTGGTTTTGGTTTTTTAAAATTTTGATGAGTATCCTTATGCATGGCCAGGGAAAGAAATCCCATAAGTGCATAATAACATTATAATCAGCTCCTGATTTCACCATATACTCTTGTAAAGAAATCATGTGTTATTGATCATGTGGAGGGTTTTGTTATTGTGAAATCCGCGCCGCACGGAGACATGTTTCAATCATATTAAACAACGTTTACTTTGACGTAGTCTGTGTCTCTATTTAAACATGAGGCTGTGGGTTAGGCAAGCAGTATAAGTGTTCGCTCGTCACGCCGAAGACGCGGGTTCGATGCTTCACATGGCTACATTTTGTGAAGTCACCTTCTGGTATTCACCACAGTAATATTGCTTGAATATTGCAGAATAGGGCGTAAATCCGTTCTTATCCGATTTAGACTTCAAGATAAACATAAAGTAAAGAAAGGGTTTATTTTAACTCTGTCTATTATAAAGGATCAACCAACACATGGGCAAATTTGTTTCTTAATGGAGCGTTATTTTATGAAATTCGAATATCGTTTAATTGATAGCCAGATTTCACTGGAATTGGCAGAATTGTTGTAACTCCTAGTTACATAACACACATTAATAATGAACGATTTGATAGAAAATGTAAAGAAAAATAATAAAATAACAATACGATAAGCTCTAGATGAACGTTAGCGCGCGTTTTACGTTGCCACCGTTTGGGAAAAAATGAAGAATCCCTCATCAGAAAAAAGACAAAAACATCTTTAACTGTGATTCTGCAATTAGTATGTCTGTCCAGGAGTGAATTGGGGAAATCTGTATCTAGAAAGACAGAAATGACCTGCCTTAAAATCTCCAATATATTCTGTTTCCTTTGGTAATCGGGAAATAAGGATATATATGCACATATCATTTGTTGTCAAAATATTTTGATTCCATAACACAAACTGCACTGCAAGCAAACGCAGCAGGGAACAGATAGTGACGAAGTTAGACACCTTGGTCATTAAAAGGTTTGTATACTCTTTGATATGTGACAGTTTGTTAGAAATGAAATGTAAAGAAAGAGAATGCTAAAACCTTGCACTTAGCCTTCTTGTAAATGTTCCCGTGTCATATGACTTCAGACAAATTATAATCGGCCGGACGATGAGAAACACTGAAATTCTAAATGCTGCCCAGAGAGTAGTAAAGGGCTTTCATCGGGTACAAAGTGTAAGGGAAGTAACTCTTAGATAAAATTGTACTCTAGGAAGTATTGGCTCTTCTCGCATGATAGGATCAAATGTACCAGACGGCTAATATTTGACCCAAAGAATATTTTTTAAATCTCCAGCTACTCTCAACTGACGATTTGTATGATATGCGGAACAAACATATACTTTATTTATTCCCAAAACATACATCTATACAAAACTATTTTTTATAAAGATGCCGGATGTAATCTGAAATAGCTAAAAAAATCGTTATTTATCAGTTGAGAATTTTCTACTATGGTCAGAGTTGAAACTGGGTATTGAGAACGTAGGATTTTGTTGTTTGCGTTCCAGCGCGCTCCAGATCAAACGGCATTCCTTTCAGCAGTTGCCGAACAATTCTCGCCATGCATTTGACATCTGGATGAAATTAACGCCCTCCGGCGTTCTCCAAGGTCGAATGGAGAGGTGAACACCCGCAGGAAAAACATGTCTCGATTATCTGTAACCTTTGACCCGATAAGTCATACGGGTCACGTTGGCCTGACCTGGCCAATCACAATAGTAAGCTGCCCGGACCTTGTAATGTACCGTTACCTATTGTATCGGGACGTGAATGGGGATAGCTGTAATAACTGTTACCACTAGCGATCCATTGTAAGGTGGACTAGAGATTGTATATCGTGGATAATCTTCCGAATATTGATTACAGAAAGTGGTGTGAATACTTTTGATGTATTGTATAGTTTTATTCATGGGATATGCTTTATGAATATTTATATCTCGACATTGTTGTTTGTATAGGAATTTACATGGTGGATAAAACGTACGTGATATACTGAAGAGGGTTCGTTGTGTGGTTATTTGGATATTCTACTGCGACAGTGACCTGCTACCGTCACAACAGCGACAATGTCAACGGCATCTTCCGTTCTGCTTCCATCACAAATGGAGACTCTTCTTCATCACTTGGTCGTTATCGTCGTAAGCCGTTTTACGTTCATGAGTCTCTATGTGTTTTAAAGCCACAGGTGTCGGATTGCGTATTTGATTTTCGTATGATTTAATGAGTATCCTATATAAAACTAAAAACAACTATGAAAACAAAGACCATCCTTTCTTCCTTCACCCTTACAACTTCTAAAATGCCTCTCAAAGAAACTATAAAAACACTATGTACGATTCAATACACGTGCTTGTGATATCGTTTGAGCTTTCATATCAGGCTTTGAGGAAAAGACGCCGTTACCGTCTTGTCAATAG